GTTAAAATTATTTATTATCATTCATGTATATATAAATATATTACATAATGGTTAGATTCGCTTTGTTGCTCACAACGCTTTAAGCGTCGTTTCATTCTTGTTATTTGTAAAATATTAAACAAAGACAATTGATGCTCATAAGTGCTATAAGCGCCAAAGCGAACACAGCCAATATAATATGTTTAATGTTAATTTACAAAATTTTAATTTGAAATATTATTAATATTGCTTATTTCAATCAAATCTCTCTTTCGTTCCTTTTTCTCTTTATAAGAATTTTAATTCTTTTTATATTGCCTTTCTTTCGTGATTAATTTTTAATATACATAATAATTTTCTTTTTTACATACAATGAGGCATTTATGTTAATTCTCATTACTTTTGTAAGTATATTAGAAATATTCAGTAATTCTTACATATATACTTTAACATCTTTAGAAAGTATTTGTAAAATTGTGTTAATCTCAAAAAAAAAAAAGAATAGAAATTATTATTTATTAGATGTTCTCTCTCTCTCACACAACACACACACACACACACACACACACACACACACACACACACACACACACACACACACACACACAGAGTATTTCAAAGAAAACAAAGAGTAAAATTTAAAATCGGCTGACTCAATCATGTATATTAATGTCCGTGTCACATTACGCTATTCTCAATTTGCAATCCTTGATCTCCAATGTAGTGTAATACGAGCATAAGGGCATTAATATGATTATGTCACGGTACAAATGGGACGCTTTTTTAATAACATCTTAACAGTACTAGAAATCATTTTTTCCAACATAAAAATTTGCAATATAACCGCAAATCTAGATCTAGGTAATGATTTTTCGGTCATAACAAATAATAACCGTCACTATATTGATAAAAGGAAAAGGGGCAAAAACTAAAAGTCATATTCCTACAATGGGGTAAACAAAACCTTCAAGGAAAATGTCAGAGCATATAAATCTTTTCTATTTCAGAAAGATGAAATATAACTGGAAGGGTCGACTGACGAGACTTTAGGTTTGGTTGCAGATCACTATATAATTAGCGTATCAAAACCTTCGAAAAGTTCGTATTTTCAAAGCCATTGAATAAGTTCCATATAATACATGATGCAAAAAATTTTTTTTATTATCCTAATTTCCATAAAAAAGCAACCGTTTCTGAAAAAAAAGGGATAAATAATAGGGTTTTTTTTTGTGTTTTTTATGAAAATGTTCAAAAAATATATAACAAAAGATACAAATGGTTTTAAAAGTAAGAATTCTAAAAGAGTTTTAAGATTTTTTAATTCTTTATCGCTAGATATATTTTCTATAACACATATTTCTTTTATGAGAAAAAATGAATATCATTACACAATCATATACAAACTGAAAAAATAATTTCTTTTCATTAAAGAGATACATTGTTATCGTTAGTTCAATATTTATCACACAAACATGTCAACGTGCATTTTAAAATTCGAAAATTAAAATAATTTCCATCTTGCTCCCATACTATACAGAATGTCTATGTTCACGGCCTTTCACGAAAGTGAAAAACTTTAAAACTCTAACACTATCTCCTGCAGTAATATGCCGTAATATAGCACATTCACAATATAACGCAAAGAAATGGAAGATGGGTAAAGAAAAGCAGAAAGTCCCCGCACGACAAAATCGTAAACTTTCTGACCATGCTTTTGACCCGAGGTCCCACCGCTGCGCGCTGGCTGGATGGACTATAAATTCTACTTTTTGAGAATTTGTCAGACGTAGCTTTGTCGATCCTCGCTAAAGTTCTCCTTCAGAGAAGTTGAAATCCGAGGTCTGTCAATAGCGACTTTTACCATCACCTGTCGTTCAGAGAAATATATCTGTACCGCAACTTATTCCACACGGCAGCACAAACTGAAGAGTAAAGGAAGCGAGGCGACTACAATACAAATTTGTCACTAGCACATTTGACGCGAAAACTGCCTTTCAAAGCTTTCGCTTTCCTTCTTCGACGAAACTAATCGATCTGAATTTTCTGCTTTGCTAGTCAACGATCTTCAGAGTCATTCGACAAATGGTGAGCAAATGATACCTTAGGTCATTGACAAATTGTCAAAATTTTTAAAAGATCAATAAACTCTACATTTGCGGATTTTGCATAATTGTGCGTCTGAAATAATGCAACACAATTAATATGCTGACTAATATAAATGATAAGAAAAATTATCAAAATATTTTTCTTTTCTAATTCTTATATTTTACAAAGCGACATCCAAAGTTTTATCTTAAACAACAAACATTCAGGATACGAAACGAAAAGCGTATACTGAGAAAGCGGTTGCAGTAAAATACGAGCAATAGATAGAATCTAAATCTCGATCACAGGAAGACGAGAAACGCGACTGACGAGGAAAGATGAGGGTCTTAGTTCTGCCTCTTACAGGATAGAACTAAATCCTGGAAAATAGACATAATCGCACGGAAAATCGCACGACCTGCGTAATCCCTCATGTTTCCCGAATTACAAAAGCCGATAAACAATCAACGTTCATAAGAAACAGGACTTGCAGAGTGAGAGACGAAATACGATGACGCGATAGTTATTCCTTCGTAAAAATAGACAAGACAAGAATATTTACCGAATCTTAGGAAAATATTTCTCTGATATCTACGGCAGAACAACCAAAACCGTCACTCAAAAATGTTACGATCACAAACGTGAAAACATCATTAAACAAAAACCAGGACGATTGTTTTTCGTGGAATAAAAAAAGCAAACGTGCAAGTAAATAATAAAAAAAAATAAAGATAACATTTTTAAGAATAGATAAAAAAATAGATAAAAAAAATAAGCTCGGTCCTCATATTTTGCATACATTAGACAAATTTACAGATTTAGAGATTTTGCTACATTTATAAGAATAGTAACAATAGTAATAATAGTTTTTCAATTGCAGAAATATTTAAAAAGAAATTATCTCTAAAAAAAATATAATCTAATATTCCAGAAAAAGCGAGAAAGACAGTTCAACCAAAATTAATGTAAAAATTATTCATGAGACCGTTTAGGACCAACGACTCATACACAGTTATATGCTACACGAGACAATTGTTATTGACAGGAAATCAGGAAAGTGATTAATCAACACGTAAGTCACATATTATTCTTGAGTTTTGTTTGCATGGCAGAAGCAAGACGTGTTAAGATAATACTTTTGCCCAAGCGAAGCGAAACGATGCGGAGCTGAACCGTACTGGTCCAGGTGTGAGAAAAACGCGGCGCACAATGAAACGTCACTCTCGCGTCCATTGAAGAAGCCTTCGCGATCCATGTGCACCACCCCTAAACTATACCGCCTAGATGAATGGATCACTCGGGCCCCTTTTCTATGTTACCGTCAGGCACAAGCGCGAGGGATGCAACCCGGCTTTTTCGTTCCTGCATTTTAGCATCACATATATTTCACCCTACAATCATCCACCGTGGACAAATACCCTTATTTGTACACATCCTGTGCATTGTGACGTAGCGCGCGGCACCCACGGGCTTCGACTTCCGGCGAGCGACGCAGTCCGTTCCTTGCTTCGTTTTCCTCTCACTTTTATTTTTTTTTTTCCCAATTGCAAAGATGGGTGGAAATGGTGGAACAGTTTATGTACCTGCTATAAAATAAAGAGGAAAGGGAGTACGCAACGGATTTTCTTGATGTAATATTAAACTTCGATGGGTTGGGCGATCATTCGATCCACACTACGTCTGTTTCCGTTCAAGGACCCATACTGGATCTTTTCTCTCCACCCTCTTTCTTACATTAAGACTCCCCGGATGTTGGATAGGCGGAACGCCTAATTATACTTAAATTTCGTGACCATGATGGTAAGGTTGAAGCGTGACCGTTTTCTTCTGAGAAATCCGAAAAGTTGAAGACAGTTATTATTAGTATTATTATTAGATATATATTACAATAATAATTTTAGAAATTTTAAATTCTATGTGTATAAATAATAAATACATTTAGCGAAATATCTGATTTAATAAAATATTTTTTAAATAAATACACATTTATATGTATATATAGATATACATTTCAAGATATCTTATACCCGACTACCCAATAAAATAGTCTACAACTCTCTAAACCATATAATTTTTAATACAAAAAGTACTTTATAATTAATAATCTTTCTTGTTAAACAAATTTAATTATAAATCAATTAAACATACTTTTTCGAAAAAAAGGACAAGTGTACGCACATCTAGATGATGTAGCGAATATCGTTTCTGCTATCTTCATATAATAACTACACTCTTTGAGGGTCTATTATAATTATCTACGCTTTGGTCCATAATATGAGATTTCTGCACGGCATATAGCCCAAAAAACATCATCTTACTTTTCAACCAACCACTTTTCTACTACAACAAAATTTATTTGGCGGCACTTGGATACGAATTGAAATTAACTTTGTTCATGGGATAAATTAAATTTCGTTTTTCGTTCGTGAAATCATAATTCTTTATGGAAATCACATTTTTTATCTTGTAACAATGTAAAACTTAATGTTAATTTATAATATAATAACTAAAAAATTTAATAACAATTATACATTATTAAAAATCATACATTTAAGAGTTACAATTTATATATTAAATTTTAATTACAAAATATATTTCCGTTTGTCATATTTTACACATTGTGTGTTACACATTTTTGGTTTAAAAAGAATAAAATAATTGAAAAGTTATATGAAAAATTACTTTCTTATCTTTTGTTCGATATTGATGGAAAATTTTTCAAGGAATAAAGAGTTAAAGAAATTTTTCAAGAAATATCATCAGTTATTTTTCACTTGAATTATCGATTACTACCACGAAAACCATTAGTTAATCTGTTACAAAGAAACTTATTGTTAAATGCTACATTAATTACATTAAATATTAGCTTGCATTTTCGTATTACTTATCATTTAGTTGTTTATTAATTTAATTAATATTTATTTGTTCAATTTATCATTATTATCTACAAAGTCCTTTGTTATTAACAAAAAATTATTTGTTTCATGAAGAATATTCTAATCCAAGCTATGAAATATTCGTAGCATTGCGATTCCTTCAGCAAGCTGGCCTACATTTCATGTAGGCCGAATAATTCGGTCAGGATTGAAACCTCGGGGCAGGCCATATGCTGAGAAACGATGTATAATTACGAGGGATGCTTCTTCGCAAGTCGGTAAGGGTGGGGACCCACGAAAACCCGAGAAGCGCGCAGTGGGGGACGCGCGGTTATATAAGGAGGTTCTGAAACCCTGAAGGACTGCAGTCGCACCGAAATTCCGCTCGTGGAATCCACGCTCGTGGCCTTCGTGTCCTGCCGGCACGATCTGTGCTCGATTAGACCGCGAAATATCTTGGAGTTTTAATCGCGGAAGAAAATAATAATAGTAATTTTGTGGTGAAAAAAGTGAGGAATAAGATTCTTTGTTATCGAGGATGAGGATGAAGATCGCATGGCTTCCGGCGCTGATATTCTGCGCGACCTTGGCCTTGGTAGCCGCCAACCTGGATCTCGGACCGATCATCAAGATCGCACAGTGCCGATCATCGTGTCTACGACATCACATGGTCGATGGCAACTGCTTGAATATAAATAATATCAACAGCCAAGTATACGACTGTGATTTGGTAATTAAGAACTTCTTACATCAAATCATCTTTTTTAACTCTTTTACTATTCTAAACTATTCTAAAGAATTCTCGGCAAGTACTCACAATCAGTATATGTATGAGATAATTACGCACAATTGTCGCTTTCAGAAATATTTTAAAGAAAATAATGTTTCTTATTTATAATCAACAGCATGAATCAACTATGCTGTTTTTAAAACTGAAATTAAAATCAGGAAACGTAAATATAAAACAATATATTATATTTTTGTACAACTTATCGATAAACTAATTAAAGATTTTATGATTTCATTACCAGATTCAGTCAACACAAAATTTATTTGTAAAGTGCATGCAATAGTATACCTTTGTTGCAAGATATTTTATATTTAAAATCGATAATTAAAACCAATAACATAAAATTCATACAATATAATATGCATTTTGTTCAAAAACTTCAATTATTAATAAATAAAAATAAAAGAAATATTAGTTCCACGGAAAAATAATTATCTACTATCTGAAACTTTTAGTAATATTTTAAAAATATTTTATTTAATTATTTTTTTGTAAAATAAAATTTAGAATTTTAAGTGTAAATAGAAATATAGATATAAAAATATAAACTCTTAAGAGAGTTGTTCTTCTATTTCAAACTAATCGTTTAATTTTAAGTGTTTAAATGTTCCAATATTAATATTTTTATTTAAAAAAAAGACCAAGTCACATACAGGAATTTAAAAAGTACCCCAATAATTGCAAAAATGAATAAAAAATAATATCAATTAATCAATAAACTTAATTGTCTCCACAATAAATTCACAATGGAATAAATATAAAGTTTTTTGTCCTCTACTTGAAATTATACATAAAAAATGCAATGTATATTTAAAGATTTTCTATATTATACAGATATTTTTATTTAAAAAAGAAATAGAAAGTGTTCGCACAACGTAATGCCATGTGTATACATGTATATACATGCACACAAAAAAAGGCACCAATTGCAGCCGGAAATCGGATAGGGTGTCGATAAATCTTTCGGTGTCGATTTTGAGAGAGAGTGCTATGGAAAATCACCAGGTGTGGTCGCCACCCTCTGAGCACACATGGATGAGAATCAAAGTTAGGGGGGATTCAGGAGACGTCCAACAACGCGCGCGCGAAGGCGTTGCTTATTTTATGCTAAAGGGGGTGTCCATTAATTTCGGGAGATCCATCGATTCCATGTCCCACGAGAGCGAGGGGGCCGAACGTACAAATTTATGCGTGGGCCCCTGTGACGAATACAGGGGCGAGGGAGCATCTCGCATTAGAATAACAGCTTGCAGAGAGAACGGGAATAAACTCTTAACGAGCACTATACAGTTGGTCACCTCCTCCTCCTTCTCTTTGAAAAAAAAGGACGATCCATATACTGACATCGAAGGAAAGGTTTGCCACTTCGCAACCATGATTGTTTTAACAAATAGAAGAAATAATAATTTCGGAATAAAGGAAGCTTCTGCCTACTTCTTGAATATAAAAATTTCATGTTTTTTTTCACGTAGAAACCGAATCTGCGATAAAAAAATATCAGATTTTATTTTTAAAAAATTGACTTCCAGTTTAACTATTTTAAAACCCATTTTCGTTCGGAACCGGAAATTAAAATATCATTATTCGATAGAGCATACCCGATTTACTTATCAAAATTTTGGAAATTTTTGATGAAAATCCCTTCTCTCATTTTTAAATGAGTAGCACGGGTTAGTATGCAACCTGATTTTGAATAACATAATTAATTTTTTATTAGAAAACAAGCACTGATAATACTTTGCTTAATATTTTGCCTAGTAAGCAGTCTTTCAAAAAGCTCGCAAAATTTTTGTTAATTAAAAACTGATTTTTTCATTCTTGCCTACTCCTTGTTAATGTGTTACAATAATATAATTTACGAAATATGAACAAATAATATAAAAGTAAATGTTTTAAAACATAAATTCTAATGAATGAATATAAAGTATGTATGTGTTTATTTAATATAAATGTTAATTTTTCTAAAAAGAATATGTTTCCATTTGTCTATAAACATTACGTTTTTTATATTTATTTTTTTTAAATAATATTTATGTTATATATATAATATAAGTAAAAAAACACACACACACACACACACACACACACACACACACACACACA